AGTTAGGCATGATGGGGGTGCCAGCCCCCCAGTCCCCATCCCCTTGAAATGCGCTTGGGAATACCCTGTAGCAAGAACAGCATGGCTGGAGTCTCAGCTTCTCCTGAGACGCTAGACTAGATCTGGTCACTTTAAGATGATGGCCATATTCCATACATACACCTACTGGTGTATATAGCTTCAAGACTTCGCTGTCTCCTGAAGCTTCCAGTGCTCTTTTCTGAAGAAAACCAACCAAAACCAAGATGGGCTCTGCAGCCCCATCAGGGATTCAGCAAGGTGACTCACGGGTCGCATGTCATTTCGCTGGGATAATATTTCACTCTGGTTAGAAACCGAGGGGGCACAGAGCTGTGTGTTAGAGAGATGACTCACTAGGTGACCTTCAGCTTACATCTCTTGGGAAAAATATTTGCATGGAAAGAGACTTTTAACACTGGAATAGATGGTCTTAGGTTAGGGTTAACATCTTCAGAGGGTGTTATGAACAGGCCAGAGGAGCACATGCCAGGTATGGGGCAGGAGCTCTCAACTGACATGAGTTGGCTGTAGTTCTTCAAGAGCCCAGCCTAGAACAAAATACAACTCAGGCCACATGCAGCCTCTGTGTCCACATCACAACTACTGCTGTCGCTGGTGTAAGATATGATCTTGTCTTATAGCATGGTACTAAATGATCTCTCAAGGTGTAGTCCAGGTTTATCTTCTGTGGTTTATTCCTTATTTGCCCACGCTGTGCAAAAAATGATCATAAGCTCTCTTTCTTACGTGGGTAAGGAAAGGAGTAAAGATGTCTGGGGATTGATTTGCAACTGTTGAATAAAAGCTGCTTCAGAAATACCAAAATACCAGTGGTATAACCTCAACTTACCAGAGTTTGATATTAATTATAGGGTACACACACATAGGAGTGATGTTTTATTCTCATTTAAAAGACATAAAGCTTCCCTGCATGGGAAAGTTTGCTGTTTCTTGCTGTGTGATTCTTCGAGTTATTGTATGTGCCCCCTCTGATAGACCCCAGGATAATCTTTGTTTAAAGTCTTTAATAGCTTTGAAAATGTGTTCTCCTCACTTGACTGAAAAAAAAAAAAGGGGCAGATTCGCTTCTTCAGCTGACTCTCACCCTGTGCAGAAGTCAGGCTGTTAAAAAAACAGTATTTAGTGAATTCCCTGCCAATAGAATATCAGTATATAGCAAAGTATTGCTCTGATATTTTTCCCTTGTCAAAGCAAGCAAGGACCATCCTCTTGATCTCTCCCATGCTACAGGTTGGGAGATCAAGACAGGGACCATGTCAAGGTTTTTTACTGAAGTGGCAGTTTCCTGATGTGATCCAGGATTATTTCTTGCTGGCCAAACAAGAGCTCACAAAAAAAGGCCAGCCCTCAGCTGCGCATCTGATTCAAAAGAAAATTCAGCTGAAAGCCGAGTGTTAGAAAGATGAGTCAATACAAAAGCAAGCGGCAGCTCTGGATTTAAGCAGAAGTCCACAGCATTTAACCTACTTTAGAAGATCAATGCAGCAGATTTTTAATCATCACATTAATCCTAAAATAAAAATAATTACCCCAGAGAACTGTATTAAAGTCCCTTAATTATATCTCATTTCATCATCCTTTTTACTCAGGATCAGGAGCTACAGAGACCAGAGCTTCCCAATGTCGTTCTCCAGCTTGCAGTTTAACTCTCTAGTTAGGACTTTAGCTGCTACTACGGGGACGAGGTATTGGCCTTGCTGAGAGCACCCACATCCATCCCACTTAGGGGAAAACTGAAAAAGGGAAAAAAAAGGTGGGCAGGATTCTGCTTTCCAATGACACGGTACAAAACAGCAGGGGAAGGAGCAGAGAACATTATACGGTGGGTGAAAAATATGTGAATACCTAGAAATTCAATCTCTACATTCTCCCCTTCTTCCAGCAATGCCAGAAGATCATTAATAGCTCATTAAGGGGAAAGAGAGGACTTGACCAAAGGCTGGGCCCCTTATCAAATTTGACTGAGCAGAGTTTATTTCCTGGAGCATCCTCTCCTGCTTGCAGACCTGCCATCCCCACAGCCAGGCTTTGGGAGCATGGCCGTGGGCAAACGCAGGACCGTGAGCCTTCATGGCACCCTCCGTGGACAGCTTCAGGTGGGTTTTTATAGCAATAAAACCAGCCCATTCCCTGCTTGTAAGGGCAAGCTTACAGCCATACAGCTAACTTTTCCATCTTTCTCCCAGAAAAGGGTGCCTCTGTCCACACTGCTTATTGGGACCAGTCCCCAGTCTGTGCTGTCCCCTGTGTTGTGCCCAAGCTGCTTGTTTTAGGTCAGATTCCCCCTGCCTTGCTGGCCTTTACCCATTTCCACCATCTTCTTGCAGAGAAACAAGCTAGCCCCGTGTTATATTTAGGCTTAAATGCATTGTACATTTACTGGAATAGCGCTTCAGGGCAATTTTCAGGTTTCTTTAAATACACAAGGGAATTTCTTCCCGCTGCCTTGGGAAGAGGCCCAGAGGCCTCTTACTGTTGCAGATGTTGGGATGCAAGCAAAGGCTATCGTAAAACAAGCAGCATGTTGAATCTTAGCGAGTCAATGGCTTTAGGTTTAGGCAACGTCCCCAAGCTCCAGCTTGGCAAGCGGCACCAAAGCTATAAATATCCCACTTCCCCTCTGCAAGGATGCTCTCCAAAACCACCAGCTCCACTGTGGTTCCTGGAGGTGCAAGCTATAACGTGTCCAAGGAACCTCACAGCCAGCATCAGCTTCTAACAGGGGACTTAACACCGGAGGTTTGTGAAAGAAAAGTAATTAAAGGTTACAGCTACCCCTGCACGGAGCGGACTGGCGATCAAACTGCCAGGGAATGGTCACCATAAAGTACTGCAGGGCATGAGAGTGAGAGAGGGAAAGAAAAAGTGAAAAAGTACCTTCATGATAATATTATGGTAATGATGTAGGCTGCTATGTAAATCACCTTTTTATCATTAATAACTGACAGCCTGAGACTGCCACATTCTGCATTTTTATTTCCATGAAAAATGGGAACTACCACTTCCCAGCAGAAAGGAGTCAAAGCGCTTTTTCCCTGCACTGAGTGGGGGGGAACCCTCTTTGAGACTCTTTCATGTGATAAAAAAAAAAAGGAAAAGAAACAAATCATTACAAGCTGGAATAAAAAAAATAAATAAACAGTGTTTTCCAGTCAAAGTGACAAAATATATGCACATCTCCCTGCTTGAGCCCCTTTGATGGCAGAGTGCTCAGAACCAGACTTTCTCCTAGCAAGCCCGGGAATCAGACATCCCCCTTTTTTGCATTCCCTGCAGCCCACTGATGACAGAAGAGGCTCCCAGGGCACGAAGCAGGACAGAGACTGGCCACAGAGATCACTCAGTGGAAGAATTTTAGTTGCACCTTCTCACCATTTTATCTTTACTTTGCTATTTTTCATTTCAATCTATACTTTGGATTTATTTTTCATTGTTGTAATTCTGTTGCAGTCATTTCAACCTAGAAAAGCAAGTATTGGCAGGACTGCGAGGCCTCTAGGACAAACAGGAAAACTGAGAAAATAATGCAAGATGAGACCTGAACTGGTCATAAAGTCATCCTCTCAACACCAAGGCAGCTCAGTACCACCCTTGTCTGCCTAACAGGTTCCTGAAGCCCCCAAAGATGGAGATTTTATACCTCTTCAGGTAACCTTATTCTTTAAAAATTCCCCTTCATGGTCAAAGCGAAATTTTTCCTGCTGCAACTTAAGCCCATGACTTCTTGCCATCTCATGAGTCTTCACAGGGATGTATTTATTACCTTCCTCTTGGCAGAAATAGTTTGGGTGTTTCAAGACAGTTATTTTATCTCCCCTCAATTTTCTCCAAGCCAAACAAACACAGGTTTTCTACACCTCTGCTCATTCTTGCTGCTTTCCTTTGGCTCCTTCCAACTGAGTCACATCTTTCTGGAAGTGAGGTGCCCAAAACCAGACGGAGTCCCCCAACCAAGGCCTCACTGCTAAACAAGGCACACAAATTGCTCTGTAGAAAAACTACAACACTCCTGTCTATACATATTAATATCATGTTTGCTGTTCCCCCCGCAGCGAGAAACATTTGCTGAGTTGTCAGCATTTTGCTTGCTCTTGGCACAAGGCAAACAACTACCTGAGCTGCAAATCAGGCAGGAACCAAACCATGATCTCTTCTGGCAAAATGCAGCTAAATTCCAATAAAAAATTCCACAGCAGCTGCCTACACTACTGAAACCCACTTACCTCAAAGCATGTAAGAGAAACATTCCCCTTTATAAAATCATACAAGCTGTAACACCTTAAACTAGATTTAAGTAAAATAAACTCTGCACAGGTCAAGGTTAAACACTTGAAGATCCCTACTGGTGTTTGCCATAAAAAAAGCAGTACCATTTTCAGATCAGAGACTGATGTGCTCTACAACAAAGCAGTCTCAGCAGTAATTAATGAGAATACAGCAGTGAAAAAATGAAGTGTTCTCTATGTTATTTGGAACACTAATATTGCCACTTTGATCTTAGGAATTGCATCCGCCTGTTTGTTTCTAAAGACGTTAAAGTTTAGACAATGAGCATGCTACCTTAATTCAACCTCTCAGGACATTTCAGCTTGAACTTACACAGGATGAAAAGCCTATATGGCAGGGTCTGATCAGGGGCAAATACTCGGGCAAATACTCAGGCAAATACCAGACAAGTCCGTCTAGTTTAAGTTTAAGACCTAGATTTTTGCAACAGCTGAGGATTAAAACACAATCTAAGAAACACACAAATCATTATATTCTGCCTAACATTCTCCTTTATTAATAACCTAACAGACATTACAGATGCTGGATGCACCTTCCTGGATTGACAAGATATTAATATTGTCAGCATAACACCGAGAAGTGGTTTGAACCAGTATAATGGTATGGCTGGATCTCTGTCTGCATTCAGTCCGATCAGACAACTTTTCCTATTCCCTCAAATCCCCCCTTACCTTTTGAGATAGTTTCTCCCATAGAGGATCTGCTGCAGCAAGGTGACCACGGCAAAGGCGCAGATGAATATGAAGAACAAAGTTCTGTTTCCCAGCAAATCCCTGCTTGAGGAAGGGTCAGTGTATCCCATTCTTATTAAAAGCCACTGAAGCTCTGCTGGGTAAAATTCAGTTCATTGTCACCTTCATGCTGGGAAGCAGAGGGGAATGCTTGCTGGCTTTTCTCTGAGCAATCCAAGAACAAGGTATTCCATTGTTTGGCCCTTCTGCCCCTTCCTTGCCCCTTTTGGATGTTAGCTCCAGGATTGTGCGCAATGGCTTGCTTCCACGGTAAAGTTTCCAGGAGATTCAGACGTGGGTAACATCTAAAATCATCTCTCAGAGCTCTTTCAGCACAGGCAGCCTGTGCTGTGCAAGAGGCATTCTGTTCCCTCTAAGCCTCTCTTGAAAACCCGCTGCTAGCAATTATCTACTTCAATCCCATTTTCATATTCCAGATGGGGGAAGCTGCAAAGAAACCAGAAAACTGCAGCCAATGGCAAACACAGCGCTCCTGCAACCCGCGTTGGAAACACATAGTCGTCAGCTCTTCTTTGCTTCTGCTCAGTGATTCCAACGAAATGTGCTTGCAAGGAGACGTGACTGGGGTGAGCTATTATTGAACAAGCATGTAACGATCATGAGGAATTCATTCAGTCCCCTGCAAAAAACAACAGCAGCAATCTGGTCAGGCTAGCAGGAAAGCTGCATTTTGTATAGCAGCGTGCCGTCCGTACCGTGCCTTCGGTACTGTAGCATTTGCATGCAGAATGCAGTGCCTGTAGTCATAGACCACTCACTATTTGGGGTCCTATATTTCCCCTGGTTATTCCTCCAGAGTAAGCATAAGCAAGGTCACTGTGCATCTCTTCAAGGACAGAGCTCTCAGTTCCTGCATGCTGATTTATTGGAGGCTCTGAGTAGCCTCACAGTCGCAGAGAGGGAGACTGCCTCTCAGTGCAGGCTCTAAGAACCATTCATTTAAAGAGACAAATATTCCGATTGTTCCTCCATCAGAAACAGTTCTCTTTTGAAAGGGCAAAGCAACAAGACCTTGTCCACGGCCATCATAACTCCTCTAAAAATCTCCCCATTGTCAGGAGAGACTCAATTCAGCTCACAGGGAAATCAATGGGAGTTTTGTTGCTGATTTCACTGGGAGCAAAATCTGCCCCCAACCCTTAGCTTCTTAAAACAAGCTCCAATGAAAGCTTTATCCATGAATGAAACGTCCTGACTAGGAGGTTGTTTTGCCCCAATAACAGATGGGAAAAGGATTTTTACAACAAAATGTGGAAAAAAAAAATCCTTTGTCTAAGAGAATGGGAAGATTTTTGTGTGAATAAATTTTCCAACAGTTAAATCAGAATATGCAAAATGTTCTAGTGTGCCAGCAGCCCAGCTGTGCAAAGCAGCAAACAGGGACTGTTTCTGCACTTTGTCTCAGCTGTAGTTGGTGCTGCATGGGAAGAAGGGCCAAAGGTAACTTTGTGTAACCCTTTCAACCCAGTTCCTGTTGCCAGGGCTAGTCCTCAGCATGACCTACAGCAATTCAGGAAAGACAATCAAGGGCTAAAGCAGGCTTTGCTTTACCTAATTTTAAGCAACAAAAGTATCAAAAGCATTTAAGGTAGGAACCTGGTCACCCTGAACTCCTGCAAGGCAGGAACCCCCAGGGGAGACCAGCCCTTCAGACACCCTTGACTTTGCAGAGAAGGTGTAGGGATCCAGCCTCGTCCTTCTTCAGTCCCTTCCAAAGCTCCCACACGTGCATTTCTGAACCCTGCTAAATGCTTCCATTATCACCTATGCATATAAAAAGTGTGGTCATCCCAGGTCAGATCAAAGATTATACAGCCCACTGCCTTGTCCCTGACAGTGGCCAGTGATGGATACACAGGGAAAAGTAGAAGAAGAGGACAAAGACATACAGATACTTCCTTGGAAACGCTCTCCCACCATTTTGTGGTTCAGGGTCTTCCTGAACCGGGGGAAGAAAAACAATATTTTGGTTAGAAAAATAACTGAGTTGGATGTACTCATTTGTACTGTAGTGGGAATAATACACATACCAGGGACTGCAAATTAAATAGCAAAAGCAGTTTGATTCCCTCTTGTCAAAGTCGTCAGCTCTAGGGCCAAATATTTTTCTTTTAACAATCAGTTCATGTAAGCCCATATAATACAAGAGTGTTTCCATATAGGAACCGTACCATTTAGATGGATCTAACCGCATATCCTTCTCAGTAACAGGAAAAGCAGTGTGGCCATCAGAAATCCCAGGTTGGGATCCAGGATACTACACTGGCAGATTTGTATGGGGAAGCTGAGAGGTAAGGCCTGTAAGGGCAGATGTGAAGGAAAAGGTACTTAATGCTTTGATTTTTACTGATAGCTTGGAAAAGAAAGAAATTTGTCTCAGTTGCTCCTGGAGTTATTTTACAATAACAGCAAAATATCAGCGAGCAGAATTTGGCTACTTATGACCTTCTATGGGGGTGATGCCAGTTTTGCAGATTTTAGTATCACTTAGGTTTCTTTGATTTATTGGATTTTTACTGATAGCTTGGAAAAACCTCTCCAAGAAATTTGTCTCAGTTGCTCCTGGAGTTATTTTACAATAACAGCAAAATATCAGCGAGCAGAATTTGGCTACTTATGACCTTCTATGGGTGTGATGCCAGTTTTGCAGATTTTAGTATCACTTAGGTTTTGGTGAAAACACTTTCAACCTTTCTTACTCTATTCTTCTCCATTCAAAGTGATTTTTTCTTGAGATATCTGTACTGTAGTGCACCAAACTCATGAGCCTAGTAGCTATTCTTTCTCCTGGACTGATGGTCAGCCTGAGCTGCAGTAAACAGCCTGGAAGCACCATGTACTCTCAGTCATTCTTTGATTTTCTGTGTCCTCTCATCCTTCTCTGCTATATCGGAGCTGGCCAGAAGATACAGCACCTGAGAGGCCCATGTGCAGGAGAGCTGCACGCCTAAAGCAAAAAGCAAAGTACAAAGATACATATTACAAGTGAAGAGGTTTTTCTGTGCCAGATCTTGTGCAGACACTGTTCCTGATGTCATATATAACAGAAATCTGTTTGCTGCCTTCAGCCGAGTACTACAATAACACTGCAGAACTGGAAGCAGAGCAGCTCTGTGCATGCATAAAGAAATAGGATGTCTGTCAACAAATTTTCAAAGGACGCTCAAGGTTGCCTGCAATATTTGTTGTGAGTGAAAATAATCACATGGTGCATGCAGAAGGGCTGGATGAGCAATGCCAACACTCCTTCCCAGGGACCCTTTGAGAGCTTGACTTCTCAACTACAGGCCTCCTTGAAAGCATCAGGCCTCTGCAGAGAAAAATTTAAATTTGTTTTAATGATTTTACACCCTGCAATTAAGCAAGCAACGGGCAACAAAAGATCCCCTCCAGATTTTGAGAAGGGCTTAGGGAAAAGGACATTACGGTACGTTGTGTTGCAAACACGGATTTGCTGGGCATGACTGGGCCTCAGGTGCTGTGTACAGCACTGACTGCTAGTCACGCAGGCATTGACCCTGCAACGGGCAATGTAGCTACAATGACACTGGTAATATACAGGGAGTCCAGGCCACATCACGCTATACTCCAGTTAGCATCATGCCAGAGCACGGGATCCCAGTAAGTAAGATCTCTTCCATCACCAGAGGGTCAAGTATCACTTAACTGGTATCAGCTACTCAAAATACCTCTTATGAGATGGTGAGAGAGAGATGGATAAGCTGCATAATACGCACAAGCTCAGAAACGGTATTCTATATTGTTTCTTGGAGTACAGACTTCAGAGGCTAAAGCAAAAGTGGCAAAATGGAACTGCTCATAGCCTATCATAATATGAAGCTGCCAGAAGCAGTCTGTCTTTCACATTGCTGGCCTTTACTTGTTGTATGTGAGCTGCTTGATAAATATCATCAGAGATAATCTATCACAGGAAACTCCTCCAGCCTGAGCAGTGAGACTCTGAGCCCTCGAACACAAACATGAATATGCTCCAGACAGTGATACCCTCCAATGGGAGCTCATCGTTTGCTCTTAAGTCCAAATGAAGCAGAACTGAATTAAAAAAAAAAAAAAAACAAACCTTAAAATTGAATCTCAAAGACAAAGAAATCTTGGCTAACCACCAAGACCATGTTTGTGAAGCTCCACACAAGGAAAGCAAAAGGACAAAACCTGGTAGGAGTCAGACTCTACTTCTCTCGTGCACAAGCACATCTCTCTCTCTGCTGAAAGGACAATATGCAGCCCTTATTTCTAAGCTGCAGTTTATTTTTTAATGCAAATGAAACAGAAAAAATCAATTCTGATGGGCAGGTCTGATTGGGAATTTCCTTAAGTCCCTTTCACTGAACCTGTCATTTGAATCAGTGTTTGACTGATTATGCACTCTAATCTCAGCTGAAAGTAAGGGCATTTAGTGTCTCGGATAGCAGGATCTGTTGGTTGTTTAAATCACGGTATACGTAACTGAACATGTTAAACTCACAGTATTTTACAGGTTCAGAGTAAAGCAAAACATGCTTCACATTCCCCTTCAGGATTTTTTCTCTCCCTGCCTGCTCAGCCACTCTCCACTCCTCTTCATAACTGTTAGGCAGATTAAAGAACTTCACACACAGCATAGCAGAATACTATGGGCTGTAAAAGGTTTTAGTAGAACACTTTTTACATCTCATTCTAGTATCTATTTTTTCCCCTAAATTAAAATTAAATCAAGTCTATTTACAGTTTCTAGGATGCCTGTGTCAACTGCTAGATCCCTGATTCTGCAAAGCATTGGCACATAGGTATATGCCTGGAAGGTTCTGCTGAGTATGACACTCATAAACATATGCTTATCAATATTAATTATTCTGCAAATATAAAACATGAATTTATTAGCATAATGTAGTGTTTAACACAATGTCTAGTCCCCCATCACTGCCACAAATCCATATGTCTTAAACTGGGATATAAAAGGAAGCTGAAAGGATTCAGCTAAGATGTAAACATTTATTTCCTCCTGAGTTGGGCTAAGCCACGAGGAGATGACAACGGCTAATTTGGCACC